CCCGGCGAATTTTTTCTATATATTTTTAGTTGTCCAATTAATTTCTTTCTAATTTTAGTAGAGACGGGGTCTCGCTCTTGCTCATGCTGGTCTCGAACTCCTGAGCTCAAACAATCCGCCTGCCTCGGCCTCCCAGAGAGCTAGGATTACAGGTGTGAGCCACCACGCCCAGCCTAAAATGCATTTCTTACTACTCTTCTATCTGAACCTTTCAGTGACTCCTACTGCCCTTTGGTTAAAGCCCAAATTCTTGGCCTTGGTTTACTTCTGAAATTTTTCCTATTACCTTCCTTAAATCTCTTGCTCTTTACTTCTTCTCATTCTCAATCTTGCCAAAAAAAGACAATGTATAGATAAACACAACACACACATACACACATATTCAGCTATTTTCTCATCCTTTAAGGTTACTGTGTTTCTCTTGCCTTTGGTCATTGTATTTGCTTTCTCTGTAACATATCTTTATTGGTTAATTTCTGTTTGTCATTTCTACCACAGCTTAGATGTCATGTATGAGAAACCTTTTCTGACCTCCCAAGGCCCTTCTACATATTTCCAGGAGAGCATTCATCATATGGTATTATAATTGCTTGTTTACTTTTGGACTTGTTTGATTTTTCACTAAGCTCAATATGGCCAGTAAGAGCACAAATGGTTTTTGCTCAAGTGTACTTGTGATACGAAGTTTTATGTTCCATGCAGTTTGTGTTTATTTGCTGAAAAATTTTAAATTTTAGAACACGAAGTGGTCTCTGCATTGAGGTACATTTGAGATCTTTTAGACCACTTTTAAAAGCTGCATACATTTTTTTAATTTACTATTCAACTTTATAGGAAAAAGAGAATTAGTAAACTTTAAACACTGCATTGTCTTCCTTTAAAGACTACCATTTCTAACTGCTGTGGCCCAGTCAAGCCATGGAAGTTCTGAACCATTGTTAAGTTAAAGGCTGTAGAGATGGAAGAGATCTGTGATTTGGAAAAAAAAAAAAAAGTTCCTTAAAATCAAAATGTAAGGGGAAGTATGCATTTAAATTTCTCCTGGGGTTTGGCTTCTTGATAAGCTGTTTTTAATAGATTGGTTTCCTCTTTTAAACATGTGGTTATAAACTTTATAATATACTCTCCCAATCTTTACCATTCAGTATCCTCACTGAATACATCTATCAATAATACTTCCATAGTTCTTTCTAATATTTTTTAATAGCTTACATACTTTTTACTTAATAGTACTTCCTAATTTCCACGTAACTCCATAATCAAGTTAATTTTTTTAGTAAATTTATTTTATTGTTAGTTTCTTGACATCCGTTTTCTGTTTCCAGTTTCTCCAGTTTTTGCTGTCACAATATTGCTCTAATCGTCATTGTACAGAAAATTGATGTTCTCAATTTTTTGTTCTTGATATTTTTTAGCTTTACCATTGTCATTTTAGCCA